TAGTTTGATAACTTCTTGATTAATCACTGAAGTTCATGTTAGTTCAAAGTTCACATTAGTTTTACTCTGGTTTTTTCTATTATTTTTATGTTTGTTGTCTTTGAATTGGAGGTGAATCATTTGGCAAATTGATGGAACTGTCATTAATGGCAACTCTGACGACTTAATAAAAGTAAATAATTGAAGATATTTTGTTTTGCACTTATAAACCTCGAAAAAATTGTTATGCTGAAATGTTGTAATATTAATTACAGATATGCCAAAATCTTTCAAAGATCTTCCATTTTTGCGAGCCTTCTCATAGGTACCACCATCTTTGTGAAAAATTTTTAACAGAATTAATTTTCAGTCATTTTTTATAGCTTTTTAGCAGCAACAAACCGCTAAATTTCCAAACGCAGCTGACAAAAACTGCAAAGCGCGCTTGACGTAAAAACAGCACAATTAGTTGTCCACTTTGCAAAATATGGATATTGACACCGTAGCAAATTTTCCTTCGGTCTGAATCAATCAGTTTTAATTCCTCCAGAAAATTTGAATTTGGTATCTGCAAAATAGCTATGGAAGATAGCAGACAAGAAGTAAGCAGTGGAAATTTGTGTGTATTGTCAATTTCTCTTATATATCATCAATTTGTATATTATTAAATTTTTATTCTCTTTAAGCTTTATGGTGCTTTTCAAAAATTGTTATGTTATCAGACTAATCCAAAACACTAAAATTTTTGCAGCAAAAAGTTTTCGAACTCAGAAAGGATGAGATTTAGAGCAATACTTTACTGTGATATCAACTTTCCAACCTGCTGGATAGAATACATTATCAATGTGAAATGTCATTCCTACACTGTACAACGATATAACTTATCATTTCAAAGCATACCAACAAATCAGGCAGTACGAATATTGTGCAAGCACTCGTCAATCCCACGATGATGAAACTATCATTAATTGGATTAAAATAATTGAGGGAGAGATAATTTCTGATATTGCAATCCCTTGCTTGAATAACAATGAGCAGGTGCAACATTATTGCAACAAATAACATTCAAAGAGTAGTTTTTTCCTGAAATTCGTACAATAATCATTATTCGATTACGATATGAATTGGACAAATATTTATAGTTGTGCTTGAAATTACGGGACTTTTTTTCTGGAAAAGAACCATGTGACTCATTTACATTCTAATAGATAATGCCATTTCATCAACTCTTTTACCTTCTGCAATGCATCGAAGATACTACGCTGCCATTAAATAACAAATACAAAGTTTGGGAACTCATTCGATACTTATATTCCAGGAATTAATCAGAAAATTTGCAAGGAATATGCAAAACACATTCCAAACTACATGTGCAGATAGTGGGGAACTTTTAAGCATACAAATACTAACTTTAAATAAGTTACTAAAGTAAATAATTGACCGACGAGTCATTACATTTCTCATTACCCCAAAGTTTCATACAGCGTATTTAAAATCTAGATTATCATCTTGTTGATATACTTTAATATGGAATGTATGAGGAAAAAACAACATTTAAAAGGGTTTCGGATGAAACTGATTCAAATGCACTGGCATATGTGTCGCAAAGTTGTGGTTTCAGCGCCACGATTGGTTATGATAGCATCATGATTACAATATGCTATCAGAATCTTTCCATTTTACTTCCGCAAATGATACTGTAGAAAGTATTCCGGATGATTGTCGAATGTCGAACTTGTAGTTTGGAAATCTCAACTTCGTTGTCAATGTGTCCATTAACACAAAATTCCAACCTGTTGCACAGTTTGAAAAATAAATTAAACAAAAATAGAAAATGTTGAATAAGTTTATTAAATGAGCACTGTTGATTGCACAGATTTTAAACAGGTTATTAAATAGGTAAGGAAAAGAGAAACCGGAATATGTGAAGTCTTATCATAATTGGAACAACACTTCGTAATGTCAATGAGTAGGATTTAATTAGATTGCGACATCGCTGCAAACTTCCCACATCTGGTTGTTCGGAGAAAAGTCTTTTATCAAAACAGCATGGTTTGAAAGAAAAGAACCTTCCACCTTATTTTGTTACTCGGACGAATGAGAAACATGCTGCACAGCAGAATTCGACACTGGTTCAACAGTCGTCGAGAAACTTGGGATAGATATTCAAAGAAGATTTGTTATTTTATTTGGCTTCTGTCATACGTTGCTGGTATAGTGATGAAGCTGAGCTGACCAAAATGTCATATATTTATGCAGTTGTTTTAATGCAGAAATTTGGTATCAAAATTTACAAAATTGTTTCGAAACCGATAATGTAAATGTTGTTAATGATTTTATAATCACAGTTACCAGTGGAACGAGCGTTTTGGACTAAATACCACTCTTAATGAAACGAGAACCAAATATCAAGCCATATATTTTCTGATTCACCTTTTTCTCCCGAAGAAATGCGACGACATGACCCCAACCTTGGACACCAAATTTTATTTTATACAGCAAGTGTTATGAGTTATACCATCGATGAGACCGTCATTGTGCTATAATGAACAAGACGCTCTGCAGTCATCTATAACTTGATTTCTCAAGTAATCATATGTTCGTCACACTTTCATCTTTGTCAACATTTACTGATGCGGTAGAAAGATGTGGGACGACGAAGTGTCGAGCGAATGGAGGCACAAATTTAATTTTTGGGTGGAATGTGGGAAAATTCACAGCCGCACGTGGCCTTTAAACTGTGAGCAGTTGTTTTCGAACTTTACTGAGGGGAAACAAGACAACTAAAATAGTGAGCAGTACATTTAGACTACAATACTTTAAGACTCCGCATCATTACTTCGCAAACTCTTTCTTTCATTTCACGTGGACAAGTTACTTTATTAATACTCATTTTCACGTTATCTGTTGAGAAGGTTGTCCACTAGAAATCCCATTTTTTCTTGGTGTTTTAAATGGAGCAAATGTTTCATGCTAGTTCCGTAAATACATCTTAATGATGACTCCTACAACTTCACCCTAGTGGTTCCTAACCTTTTCTTGACCAGGAACCACTTTGGCTTTTTTATTTGTAGTAGGTTCGAACTACAAGTTCGAAAGTAATAAATTCTGTTGATTTGAAAATAAATTTTAATCAAAACTTTCGAAGTGTTATTTGAAATTATAATATAAAAAGAAGCTACATTTTTAACAGAAAATTCAATCTGGTTTACAAGTTCGGTAATTCTGGAGCTAATTACTATTGCTCAAAGTCATATGGGTATCATTATTTGTTTTCAATCAATTTCCGGACTTATTTTTAATACCAAGAAAAAGCAGAAAACTCTTGTTCGCACAAATATGTTGTGGGGAAAAGCACAAGGTACTGCAAGGCAACTCCCTAAATTGTAGTCTACCCAGCGCACCGCCGCCCACGAAGATCATATTTCAGCTCTTACGGACGATCGGTGGGAAACTACTATCTTACACTCTTTAAACTGTACTGACAAGCCCGAAATGGTAAACTATTTATAATTTAATCATCGTACTGATATTCAGAGAAGAAAAGAATCACAACTTTGTTTGTTAGTCGAACAGAAGGCTTCCTTCATTTCAGATTTCTACTACGTAAAAAGAGAAATTAAGTGACGGCAATAAATAAATAAATCAATTAATTGATTAAATAAATAAATAAACGAATAAATAAGTAAATAAATAAATATATATATATATATATATATATGTATATATATATATATATATATATATATATATATATATATATATATATATATATATATATATATA